TTTTTTTTTCTCAAGCTGAAAGTTTCAGGCTCTGCCAGCATTAGACTTGCGTGTCAGCAGCCATGTATTAGATCAGCTAGTGCACCAACCTGTGTCAAATTAAAATCGCTGGGCTGCAAGCTGTTGTCACTGCCCCCACCCTTCCTTTTTTCCCATATGCTCTGTCAACCAGAAATGCATAACTGTAAAGGCTGTTATGTAATATATATGTAACTTTCATTTGGCTTGCTGTCAGCAACCATAACTGACAAATGAAAATTTGAAGCATTAAATGAGAAGAACCATAGATGACAGATGTTTCTACTTTGGCCTAATATACTTACATGAGTTAATTCAGATCTTTCCAGTACATTAATATGTAATCGAGTTCATAGCAGAGGTCAGCACAGCGGCATTTTCCACTTCACACAACAGCTTTCTAGTGGCACAGACTGATTGTCTGTCTTGTAGTGTGGCTCAGACTGTGGCCAACTTTGTCTGGGTCTTAAGCGAATTTGATAAATCTCTTGTGACTCAGACTCCACAGCTGCATCAGGTGAATTAAGCTCTGTGTCATCAGGTCCACACTGATAAATGGATCCTACTAGGAAGGCTGGATCAGTTGAACTTGCTGCTTTCAGGTGATCCCACATCAGGATGATGCACTATTGTAAAGAGTAATTGTACATTTGGTAAACGGGTTTGTTTTTTTTAAATGAGCATTTTGTCAAGTGGATGGCAACTCAGTGTATATAATTAAAAGTACCAGTTGTGCTCCTTGGCTGGTGGCTGCATGCACACATTTTTATTAGATTTCTGCAGAGGTTCATTCGCCCATATTTTATACCTGCATCTTTTTTTTTTAGTGTGTCTTTGCTCTTATGTCCGTGTAACTAATGTGTGTTTTCTCTTGTTTCAGCAGAGCTCTAACAGGAAGGCTAGCAATAGTGTTCCTCCAACAACTCAGCTACTAAAGGGGAAGCAGCCAGGTTCCCAGACACCTGTCAAAAAGGACAAGAGGCAGAGCTCCTCTCGCTTCAGCTTGAGCAACAACAGGGAACTGCAGAAACTTCCTGCTTTTAAAGGTATTCACCTGTGTGACAGTCTGAAATCCATTTTATGTAATCACATAATGAACTACAGAGTGCGCTCGATTTGGTAGAATTTGCATTTGTTATAAATTCATAGAGAACGGAGTTCAGGTAATGTTTTCACGCTTCAGGGTTTTGCACAGAATTCAAAAATCAAATCAACCAAATTTGGCAGGTGGAGAAAACTACCTGGTCTGCCTGTGTATGTTTAATATGTAAGAAATGTCTCAAATGCAGATCTAGATAAGTGCACACCTCACAGAAATATGTACTAACAAGCACGTACTCAATTATTTAGTCACTCCTTCCCCACAGAAGTTCCCATGAGCATCCCTTGCTGCATCACCCCCATTTTAATACCAGGCTGAACATGACATTATGCAATATGTGGAAACAAACAGAGGACATGCATGGCATGGATTTTGCTCTGGATTTAACCCAAGCATCTATATTTAGTGATAATCCAGAGATAAAGCTTTAATTCCACGGCCCTTGTGTTTCCGAATGTTGCCAGTGAGCAGATAAGACATGTCTGCCAGCTACTACTATTCCTCCTCCTGTCTTTCCTCGTGAACTTTACAGATGTATATGGATATTTAGTGTCCAAGTTCAGTGCCAGATCCAAGAGCAACGAGCAATAAATGCATATTGTCAGCATTGTCCTGTGTATACATGGATGACTGCACGCATAATTTCTCAGTACTTTAATTATAGTTACCTAACATAGTGGTATGCTTTACAGACAGTTATATTGACATTGTTGGCTGTTAAATAATCATGTAATTAAACTTCAAAAACAATTTTATAACTAATAGTGGCAATGGCACAACAGGAATTGGTTATACTGTTTCTGTTTCTTTCTAAATGTTCAGACTCAGGAAAAATAAGAATCTCGTAGGAAAATGGTATTTTAGTGGTCCCCAGATGACTATTCTGTTTAGTAAGTGAAACAAAGTTGGGACATTGGAAATGTGCCCGACACTTTCAGAGTGGGTAGGGAGAATTATCCATCTCCTTTCAAGGACAGATATTTCCTGGATTGTTAGATTATTTACAGTTGATGCAACAGCAGTGTAAAGTTTATGGAACTGATGTAACCCCGAATGGTGGTGAATGCAGTCTCGTTGGGTTACTTGCTCAAAAGTTTCTGTATTTGGTAAAAGATATTTTTTCTGTGCCGTGTCTGTCTAGCAAACATTGAACACTCAATGTTGTGGACGTTCTGGCACTGATGCCGTGTGTGCAGAAAAGAGCGCTTTTGTTTTTGTTTTTCGTCATCGGTGGGAGGCTTGTAAGCTCACAGTAGAGCAAAGGCAGCGTTCTTCAGGGAGAATTTACGAATGTTATTTCTGTCTTTGGAAACCTTGGCATGTAGAGCAAAGTTGGATTTCCTAAGGTGGCAACATGATAACAGGCCATTTATTGTTCATTGTGTCTTTATGCTCTGCCATAAAAAAATGATTGTGTCTTTATCTTAGCTAGCCTTTACCTTTGTAACGTGTGAGGAAACCAATAGGCTTAACTTCATTTCTGATACAGCCTGCTCACTTCCCACACCCCAATGAGAGCTTTGATAACATTCTGCAAAACATTATCCCACAGTGGCCAAGTAGATGTTATCACTTAGTCCTGTCCAAACAGGCTCCTCGCTTGACCTGTTTTCATTCCAGGCATGTTCACCACCTCCTGATGGAAACACATGTCCGTGAGCCTGTCCCGCAGAGCCGCAAAGTTGAGGCGAGACTTAAAAACCCTGACCAGAAGCAGGCCTTTCCCATGAACTTCCAGATTCGTGTGTGCTTTCTTTGACTGTATGGTTCAAATTTTTGCATTTGTTTGGACGATAGTTTGGTTTCTGTTGAAACCCGATGTGGTGAGCTGCCGTTTTTTTTTTTTTTTTGTGTGTAGATTTTATAAGACAAAATACACAAATCCAAACTTGTTTTTTTTGTGTTTGGCATAATGTTCAGCTGGAGATCTGTCTGACTGAGGCAAGTAAACAGGAGATTAATTCCTCTTTCTTTGTCTCATTGCAAGTGTTATATACATGTGCCAAAAAGCACAGAACAACAACAGTTGCTCCCTCTGTATGGGTTCTCTTTTAAAGCAGGAGCTCTCCTTCATGGAGCCTTGGTCTCACAGGGTTTGGTGCCACCTTGTGGCTAGAGTGTCAAATATGAGAGGTGATGTTGAAGGACATGAGTATATCTACTTGTAACCAAAGTTTAAAAACAGATAATACTTTTTAATCTTGATTTTTTTTTTTTTTTAAATTGAGGGTACAGTTAACATAGTGTATGAAATTTGCAGTCCTTACCTTTTTAATGAGACTATGCTTAATGGCAATGCAAAACTTTCCCATGTTCCTTTATAATGTGAAACTGTTTTAAGGGGCACTTTAATGGATATAACTAACAGTCGGCAGACCGCAGATATGCAAACATTGTACACAATGTAAAAAAGAAAACATAAGGAAAATAAAACACTTAAACAGAAGGACACCAGGAAAAGCCTTACAAAAACAACATAATGAAACCATAATGACCGAGAATGTTTATTAGTCTGTGAACAGTAGTTCGTGCTAACTCTGAGATATGTTTTACTGAGTAAACAGTTGGATGAGAGAGAAATTGTGTAGAGTAAAATGTTACAGATAGTGACGAGGCTAAATGCCTATGTCACGGCAGATTCTGGTGGGTACAGGATATAAAATATTATTTTTATTGTCGCAGGTTAAGTTGGGACATTTCTGATCTTTTATAAACATGTAGCTACTAGTATTCAAAGTAGTTTGGATTTAGTTTATGCGTCACAAATTGTTATGTTTCTCCCGTTGTTGTGTTTCTCCTGTTGAATGAGCGTAGTTCATTGTAAATTATTAATTGTCTGAAATGAATCTTATCAGTGAGAACGGTACACGGGCTTCAGCACTAGTCAAAGACACAATGGACACAAATGACGGAGCAGGGACAGCTGGAGACAGTGGGCTGTCCCAAGTCTAATAAGCTGCAGTGCTTCTGACAGTTCACAAAATATAAGAAATCTGCTGCTGACATGTTGGTGCGACATATCACAGGGGACTTTCAGAGGTTCATGCCTCAGAGGGTTGGAGCCTATTTTTTTTTATTTTTTGGTGTCACACTGTGTGCCAACAGCTAGTTATGTTTGACTTCTTCAGTGTACAGTCATCTTCATTTTGAGGGATAAACAGTAAAGATGACAGAAGTTATATGGTCAGCAGTTATGTTTTTTTTTTTAAGCATTTTTTCAGCCTAGCACTAAGGAGACAGGATAATGACAGCAAACGTGAAGATGTTAAAACTAAATAAGTTGTGTGTTTAGTTCTGCTATTGCTACCTGTAATACAGTTGTTTAGTAGGTGCCAATGACTGTTAGCAGAAAACACAGGTCTAAGTCAAACTACTAAAGTGTACGTCAGTCAGTTTTTATTTTTATGAATCGAAATGTTGCTTTTACTGTGGTTGTCTTTTAGTTACATTCTAAAGCTTCCAGGAAGTAATCTTAACGTTAAATCACTATTTGTCATGTCATGTCAGAGAAACGTCTTTAACTTTGAATACATGTGGAAGCAGAAAAAGGCCCCTACAACTCATGACAGAAACTTCCCGGGTCAGACATTTCATATGAATAAAAATACAAAAAAAGTCACTGGCAGTGATCCTGGTTTTGCATGATTGGACTTTTCAGCATTGCTTCTAGAAGGGTTTTGTAGCTAGAAGTCAGAGAATCAGACACATTGCTATATTTAAGCAGTGAATATTTCATTTATGCATCAGCAACATTCAGAAATGACAGGATCCTACTAAAAAACATGACACTGTATCTGAATTGGTGGTCTTTTGTTTGGAAGAATAGTAAATATTGAAAATGGCATTTAATTAATTCACACACGTTTACTATATCTGCAGGTCTAAAACTTGTTTTTGAACTTTGAAAAACGTTTTAAGCTTTTAAACTGTTGTACATATTATAATAACACATTCCTCAAGTTACCAGGTTTAAGCTGCAACATTAAATGCGATCTCCAAGCGTGTTTATCTTGCAGTCATCAGCCACAGGTGTTTTCCACTTGTGCAACATTTTTAGTGGCACAATGAACAAATCTGGGCTTTGTTTCTTAATATATCTGCTTCTAATGTGACTAATACAGATCAGCATGTATCATCGCTTTGTGATTCATCTTTGCGTTACGAGAAGAAGAAAAAATAGGTTGGATCTTGATAAAGATGTCCTTATCATTGGAAGCTGCCTAAGTTCAGCCACTGTTGAAAGAGCCTGTGTCCTCAGCTGCGTCGATCAGTCTGTTTCTCCAAATAGATCTGAGCCTTAAGCGTTTACAGAGGACCGTGACATTGAAGATCAGCAGACCTGTGAATGAACCACTTCGTTGTGTATTTTAGGCAGTGCTGCTGATATCAATGATACGTTTAGAAAAAGCTCTGAAACCATACTTGTGTTATAGCAATCTCACAAGTTTTTTCGCATTTAAAAAATAGCACAGACACAGCAGAAAGCTCGAGTTTGGTGAATGCATGTGCCAAAGTAGCATTTGTAATGAGTAATCCAGTATTTTCTTCTCATGGTCATGGATGCACTATGCCTAAGGTACAAAATGGCAAGAAAGAGCCCTTTATATGCCCAGATTAGTTCCTGCTGATGAAGTGCTCCATTATCGTATATATTAGGACCAACTAAACTAGATGTTAAGTATTACATCCATTAGGGGTGTAGTTGTTCCCTTTTTGTACAGTTGACTTTAGTGTAAGACTTTTTACATCCTCTAACCTGCAGACAAACACGTATACAAGCTCAAGGTTGTGTAGCAGGAGCAACAGTCGCAATACAAGAAGTGTGCAAGAACAAACAGCAGCCGGACTCGAACCACACCACACCTCCTGCACCTCCAGCGGAGAAGTGCAAACCCACAGGGAGGAACCGTGACACCATTATGTGCTTTATGAAATACCACACAA